GAGCTTCTCGGCCATGCGCGCGGCCTCGCGCAGCTGCTTCTTCTTCGTCGCGCCGACCTTCTTCTTCTTGCGGTGCTTCTTCTGCGACTCGTCCTCGCCGGGGTGCGACGCGCCGGACTCGGAGCCGCTCTCCTCGCTCTCGTCGCCCTCCTTGCGCTCCTGGGCGCCGTCGCCGATGTCCGCGCCGAGCTGCGACAGCGGGTCGAAGCCGACGGAGCCCTCCTCGGCCTCGAGGTCGTCCATGGCCGCGCGCATGGACGCCTCGAGGTCCTCGCGCTCCTCGCGCTCGCGCCGCTCCGCGTCGAAGGCGCCGCGCGGGAGGCGGTACTCGGGGCTCGACGCGTCGACCGCGGCCTCCGCCGCGGCCTCGACGCTCTCGTCGTCGTCGTCCCGGAGCTCGGGCGCCGCGGCCTCGAGCACGTCCTTGAGCGCCTTCGCGATGGACTTCATGCTCTCCTGGTTCATCTCGTGGCCGCAGTCGACGTACTCGACGCTGCAGACCGTGCCGCCCGCGCTCGCGGCTTTCGACGCCGTCGGCGCGCGCGACACCTTGGCCTTGTCCAGCGCCTCCGGCGCGAGGTCCGGCGGCACGAAGCGGCCCTTGCGCGCCTGGAGCAGGATCATGGGCTTGGCGATGCGGTTCAGCACGGGCCGCGTGTCGTCGTGGTGGAGCAGGCCGCGGAGCTGGGCCATGACGCCCTGGGGCCCCGTCGACGACGCGAAGTTCCGCGACTGGATCTGGTCGCCGGCCTCGTTGTCGCCGATCTCGACGGCCTCGCGCGACGTCCAGAAGTCGCGGAGCGCCGGGTCGCGGCCCTTGTCCCGCATGTAGTCCGCGCTGAGGTGGTGCGCGACGATGGCCTCGAGCCGCTCCTCGAAGATCGCGCCGGAGAGGATCTTGTGGAGCGTCTTCGCCGTCTTCTTCATGCCCGACGCCGCGAAAAACGCGTTCACGAGGATCAGCGCCACCGTCGCGTCCTTGAACTCGCGCAGCGCCTCCGCGCGGGGCGTGAGGTGGCGCGTCGCGAACTTTGTGAGCGCGCACGCGCCGTTGCCGAAGCCGAGGAACACGACCTTCGTGTTCGGGTCGCTCGGGAGCCGGTTCGAGTTCTTGAGGTGGATCAACAGCTGCTCGATGACCGTGGCGTGCATGCTGTTGTTGACGGCGCCCGACGCCGTGTTCGCGCGCATGCCCGCGGGCCAGTGCGTGTTCGGCAGTCCCGGGAGCCCGACCAGGACCGCGTCGCCGCGCGCGCCCCGCCGCGAGAGCAGCGGCGTCACGCAGCGCTCGAGCGTGTCCAGCGTCATGAAGAAGTCCGGCGCGACGACGAGCAGGAAGCGCACGGGCGCGCCGCGCGGCGCCGTCGGCAGGCCGATGGCCGCGCCCGACGCCTCCGCGGCCAGGGTCTGCTCGCGGTACGTCGCGGCCGCGCGCGCGTCCGCCTCGGGCTCCAGCGGCCCCTGGAGCACGCGGAACGTGGCGACGACGCCCGTCTGCACGTGGTAGAACTCGTCCTTGAGGTCGTCGACGGCCGCGGCGACGTCCGGCCGCGCGCCCTCCATGAGCGCGCTCCGCTCGTCCCCGGCGACGGACGCCTGGCTCATCTCGTCGGAGAGGTCGCCGGAGCCGAAGGACGCCTCGTCGTCGTTCAAGGGGTCGCCCTTGGGCGGCGAACTCGCCGAGGACACGCCGAGCGTCGACTCGTCGGCGACGGACCCCTCGCGCTCCTCGCGCTCGCGGTCCTCCTTCTCGCGCTTGCGCCGGCGCTTCGCGGCCGCGCGGAGCTCCGCGAGGGCCTTGCGGCTCTTGTTCCGCGCGCCGGGCACGGCCTCGAGGGGGTCGCCGCCCCACCGGTCGCGGAGCTCCTTCTTCGAGAGCTGGAGCGGGTGCTTCTTCTCCTCGCCGTCGGACACCTCCTCGACGGACGCGCGCGCGGCGTCGCGCGCCATCGCGCCCGTCGTCCGCGGCCGCTCGGACCGCCGCGACGACGTCGATCGCAGCATCTCGCGCGCGCGGTCGCGCCACGTCGGCTCGTCGCCGCCCGCGGCGGTGCTCCCGCGCGGCGGCGACGCCGGCGACGCCCGGTCCGCGCGCGAGCCCCAGGACGACACGGACGCCATGGGCTCCGGCGCGCCGGCGAAGCGGGCGAGGTGCGCCTCGGAGAAGCCCGTCACGGCGTTGCCGGCCAGGGCCTCCATGAGCAGCAGCGCCGCGGGCTCCGTGAGCTGCGTGCCGAGGAGCGCCATGCCCTCGACGAGGCCGCGCGCGTCCACGCGGCCCAGCCCCTTGGCGTCGAAGTGCTTGAAGGACGCCTCCAGGGACACGCCGCGCTTCAGCGCCAGGCTCAGCAGCCGCCGCAGCTCGTCGCCGGCGGCCTCGGCCTCCGCGCGCGCGCGGCGCTCCCCCTCGGACCGCTCGTGGTCCGTCCGCGCGGGCGCGCGGTTCACGAAGGTCACCTTGACCTCCGTCGCCCGCAGGAGCCAGAGCGTGCCCTTGGCGTCGATGGCCGCCTCGATGGCCAGCTTCTCCACCTCGAGGCCGAGGTCGTCCATCGTCGCGGCGTCGGGGTCTCCCGGCGCGAGCTCGGCCGCGCGCCTGTGCCGAATTCAAATCTTCAACTCGACTTCAATGTGAGCGTATTCGAATGTTTTGACACGAGGATTTTCACTGTGGTTCGAGAACTCGATGAGAGAAAACGATCCGTCCAAAAGTCAGCCGAATCGACTTCGATTTGACCGAGCTCGAGAATTCTGAAGTTTGGTCAGGACCACCCAAACCAGTGGTTGAATTCGGCACAGCCGCGCGCGTCGCCGCGGGCGCGTAGGTCGACTCGGCGAACTTGGCCAGCGCCGACGCGAGGTGGCTCAGGTCGTCGCGGCTCACGTGCTCGGGCTCGCCCGCGGCGATGGCCGCCGCCGCGGCCGCGACGGCCTCGGCGCGCGGCGCGAGCGACGCCTTCGCGTCGCGGTCGTAGACGCCGCGCGCGTAGCGCTGGGCGCCCACGAGGGCCTGGAGCGCGCGCACCTGGACGCGCCACTCCTGGTGGCTCCCCAGGTACTCGAGCTGGGGCCCGCTCAGCTCCTCGCGGACGCCGTCGATGTACTCCGCGACGCAGACGGCGGGGCCGCCGCGCGCGGCCGTCGGCGGCGTGCGCTCCGAGGCCGCCGACGGCTCCTCGAGGCGCGCGCCCTGGAGGCGCTGGGCATCCTCGAAGGCCGCCCGGAAGAGCTTGATGCGCTCGAAGGCGAAGAACTCGTCGCGGATGCGCTGGCCCTCGCCGCCGCGGTCGCTCCGGTACAGTCGCGCGCCCGGCGGCGTCAGGTCCTTGCGCGCGAGGTAGCCGTCGGCGTCGCTGCCGAGCCACTTCGTCGGGGCGCCGTCCTCGAAGAGGATCGTGTCCGGGACGCATAAGTGCAGCCGCGGCGACCGGCGCAGGCCCGTCCAGAGCGTGCCGAAGACCCAGGACCAGTGCTTGTCCTGCACGGCGCCGCGCGCCCGCGCCCAGCGCTCCGCCTCGCGCGCCTTGGCGAGGTGCTCGCTGAGCTCCTGCGCCGAGAACATGGCCGCCGCCCGACGGCCAGCGGCACGGCGCCGACGCCGGTGGGCTGCCTCTCGAGCGCTGCCTACTCAAAAGGCCAACGATAGGTAAACCACGAAGGCAAGGTCGATCTTGCCGAAGGAGTTTTGATCGATGATTCGTCGCTCGGGGGCTGCCCTTATCGCAGTTGGTGCCTGCGTCCTGGAGTGCTGCAGCATCGTCGCTCGGGGGCTGCCCTTATCGCAGTTGGTGCCTGCGTCCTGGAGTGCTGCAGCATGTTCGCGGCTTGTAGCCTGCGGAAGCGGCTTCCGCGGCAGCCGCCGCGCGTGCCCGTGACGCCGGTGCCGTCAGAGGCAGCCTATGATCCATCGATACTGCCGGTGACGCCATCGCCGTCGGAGGCGCCGCCGTCACAGGAGGACTCGTCGCGCGCGACCCGCGACGACGCGCTCGCGCTGCGCGCCAAGCTGCGGCGGAACCTGAGCCGCGCGCGGTCCCGGGGCGATGCCGCAAAGGTCCGCGTCATCAAGGACCGGCTCCGCGTCTTCGCCGACGAGTTCGACGCGTCGGCCGCGGCCGTCAGCGTCGCCGTCAAGTTCGTCGTCGTGTCCGCAGTCGACCCCGCGGCGAACACCGTCAGCGCGAAATTCGAGGTCCACGCGGCCTGGGACGACGCCGTCGACGCCGACGACCTCGCCGCGCGCCTCGACGTCGCCAACGCCGTGCGCTGCGACCGCGGGGCCGTGACGGCGTCGGCGCACAGGCTCGTCGCGCGCTTCGACTGCGACCTGGCCCTCGGCGCGTCGTCGGACCTGCGGCGCTTCCCCTTCGACACGGTCGAGGCCGTGGCCGTGATTACGTTAGCGCACGTGAGCTTGCGGCGGCGGGGCGCGCGGTCCGAGTCGCTCGCCGGCCCGCGGGTCCACCTCCGCGCCGACGCGGCGATCTGCGCCGACGCGACGTGCGACTACTGCCTGAGCGAGTTCGAGCCGACGGCGACGACGCTGCGGCTGCTCCAGCTCGACGTCGTCCGCGGCGGCGTCGCGCTCCGGCGGCGGCCCGCGGTCCACGTCGTCAAGGTCGCGGCGCCGACGGCGGCGCTGTCGGTCGTCGGCCTCGCCGCGGGCTGGCTCTTCCCGTTGGAGGACTTCGCGGGCCGCGCGAAACTGCTCTTCGCGGTCTTCTTCGCGCAGGCGGCCGTCGCCCGCGCGCCGCCGCCGCGCGTCGACGGGCTCACGCTGCTCGACCGATTCCTCGCCGTGGCGAGCGCCGCGTGCTTGCTCGCGGTCCTCGAAGCCGCGGCCGCGAAGCTCGCCTCCGACTTTCTCGGCGGCGACGACGGGCTCCTCGTCCTCGACGCGGCGTTCCACGCGCTCCTCGCGGTCGCCTACGTCGCCGCGAACCGGACGTTCCTGCGCGCCCTGCTGTGTTACTCAGGGCGGTAACCGAGCGCCCGCGCGCTCAGACCTGGCCGCGCTTCTTGTCGTTCTCGACGTAGTCGGGGAGGAACGGCGCGACGAGGGCGATGATGTGGGCGAGCGCGCTGTAGGGGAGGAGCGCGACGCCCAGGCGCATGCCCACGGCCGTGTTGCCGACGTCGCGGAGCACGCAGCGGCCGATGGACGCGAAGATCTCGCGGGGCAGCTCCGACGGGTCCACGGCGAGCTTCTTGAACGACTCCATGGAGTCGATCTTGTGCTCGACCTTGTTGTAGAAGTTGGACGCGACGGGCGACGGGTGGATCACGCACACGTCGATGCCCTTGCACTGCAGCTCCACGGCGATGGACGCCGCGAACTGGGACATGAAGGCCTTGGTCGCGCCGTAGATGATCGCGAACGGGTTCGGGATGTACGCGGACGCGCTGCTCGTGAAGACGATGCAGCCCTTCAGGCCCTTGCGCATCATGGCCGCGGCGAAGTGGTGCGTGATGGCCACGGCCGCCGTCGCGTTGCACTCCATGTTCACGAGGTGCTTGCCGAGCGGCTGCGTGTCGAAGAAGCCCGTGACGATGAAGCCCGCGTTGTTGAAGACGATCTGCACGTCCTTGTCCGCCGTCGCGGCCTTAATCTTCTCCAGGTAGTCGGCGCCGGGCGCGAAGCTCACGCCCACGGCGACGAACTCCTGCCCCTTGTACGCGGCGCTCAGCTCCGCGACGGCGGGCTCGAGGAACTTGTCGGGCAGCGCCGCGACGACGACGTTGAGCCCCTGCTTCGCGAGCTCCTCGCAGATGGCGCGGCCGATGCCCGTGGACCCGCCCGTCACCACGGCCCACGTCGCGCCGTACTTCTTCTTGAGGTCCTGCACGCCGCGCAGGCGAATGTAGAGCAGCGGCAAAAAGTAGGCCGCGAGCCACAGCGCCGTCGGCGCGGCGAGGATGTAGAGGAGGAACACGGGGACGGCCATTGGTGTTCGATGCGTTTAAAGCCTTGCCAATGCTGTTGGCGCGCGCAAATTTGCGTCGACACAGGCTGCGACGTCGCGAGCTTTGTGGCCACGAGTGCAGCGTGGCGGCGAGTTGTCTGAAACATCTACCCTCGATGCTGCCCGATTCTCGGCGCCGCTCGCGCGCTGCTCGGAGATCGCACAAGCCTCGCGCAACCCGGCCAGAGGGCATCAGTCGAGCGCCCATCCCCTTCAATAACTAGGCCAACCATGGGCGCCGGCGCGTCGTCCAAGTACCAGAACCCGGAGTACGTGGCCTTCATGGCCTCCTGGGGCAGCCTCGAGAAGCTCCAGGCCCTCTGGTCCGAGCTGGATGTCAACGGCAACAACATGGTCTCCCTGGCGGAGCTCGACAAGCTCATCGTCGACGACATCGAGAAGAAGGGCGGCGCGCGCTTCGCGGGCATGGACAACAAGCCCGCGCTGCTGCGGACCTACTACGCGACGTGCAGCGGCGGCTACGAGGACGACTACATCGAGAAGCACGAATTCCGCGCGATGCTCCGGAACCTCTTCTTCTTCACGAAGCTCTGGGCGATCTTCCAGGAGGTCGACTCGTCGGAAAAGTACAAGGACCGGCGCATCACGCTGCCCGAGTTCCAGCGGTTCTGCGCGAGCAACGACCTCGGCGTGACGGCGACCGCGGACCAGGCCGCGGACATGTTCCGCGACGCGGACGTCAACGACGGCGGCATGCTCCTCTTCGACGAGTTCTGCAAGTTCGTCGCCGACCAGCTCGTGCCCATGTCGAAGCACGACGCGGAGTACGCGGCCATGGAGCAGCCGACGACGGAGCTCGGCGGCGACGAGGCCTGCGAGTCCTGCCTCGTCGTCCCCGTGAACAAGAAGCGCAAAGGCAAGCACGGCTCGAAGAACAAGCGCCGCGACAAGCGCTTCGGCGCGTCCAAGTCGAAGTTGAAGCGCGAGGCGAAGCGCTTCGCCAAGTGCACGGCGGACTTCGCGGAGATGCAGCTGAACAAGAAGAGCCTCGCGCGGGCCTGGGCGGCGCTCGACTACAACGGCAACGGCATGGTCAGCCTCGCGGAGATCGACAAGTGGGTCCTCGAGCACTGGCCCGTGCTGAACAGCAAGCCGGCCCTGCTCAACGCGTACCAGGACGCGTGCGCCGGCGGGTCCGACGCCTTCGTGCAGAGGGACGAGTTCCGGGGGCTCCTCGGCCACCTCGTCGCCTACGCGCGCGTCTGGGACCTCTTCTACGAGTTCGACTCGTCCGGCGACCGCCGCCTGGACCTCGCGGAGTTCGCGCGCGGCTGCGCGTCGCTCGGCATCGAACTGTCGGCGAAGGAGCTCATCAAGGAGTTCGACCGCATCGACGAGAACGACGGCGGGCTCATCCTCTTCAAGGAGTTCGCGCGCTTCGCCAAGACCAAGACGCTCTCCAGCGGCGTGCCCGCGGAGCTCGCGGCCGTCGCGTCCGCGACGGAGCTCGAGGCCATGGGCTGGTCGCGGCTCTCCGCGTACTGCGCGAACCTCGGCCTCGACGACCGCGGCAAGACGGCGGACCTCGCCAACCGCCTCTTCAACGCCCTCTTCCCCAAGGACCCCTAGGTTCGGGAGGGGCGGCGCGCGGCGAGGTCGTAAGCACGTTGGTCTCGTTGACCGAATTATTGAAGGGGACGTGCGACTTGTGCGCACGACTGCCATTCGTTGAAGGCATGTTGCATCCATGTTGTCGCCGCACTCGAGTCGAGCTGCGCGACCTGGGAATCCAATTTGCGCGCGGCCACCGCCGACACCGACACCTGCGAGCGGCCATCGCGCCGACGCCGACGCCTGCGATGCCCCCGCGTCGCAGCAGCCGACTCCAAAAGCCCCCGGCGCCGCCTGCGTCCTCGATGATGCGGCTTCCACAAGAGCTGAAGGGGCGCGTCTTGGATTATTTGGACCTCGAAGCGATCATGATCAAGGGCGGCATTTCGCGGTCGTTCCGCGCGGCGCGCGCTTGCGTGGAGTCGATTTCCTGGGAACGTAAAGAGACGAGCTTTACAAGCGTCGGACACTGGCGAACGGCGCTGCCGACTTTTAGTGGGGCTCGGCGACTGTCCGTCGACTGCGTCGACGACGATATTAAATTCGGCTGCGTCTTCGCCGCTCTCGAGCGCGAGCCGTTCCGCGCGCGATGCCTGGAGGTGCGCATTCGGGTGCACGTCGCCCTGCTCGACGACGAGGGGCTCGTCGCTCCAGATACTCCAGATTCGGTACGCCAAATGTTCCGGCTCCCAGCTCTGCTGCGCGCCGGCGGGCTCCCCGCGCTCGAAGTCTTCGACTTCGAGGTCTACGACGACAACTGCGTCCACACCGGCGACGTGGCTCTGTGGCCGCCGCAGCCGCGGCTGAAGGTGCATCCCACCGTGCGCGAGAAGCTTCTGCGAATCCTCGACGCGCTGCCGGCGCGCGTCGCCGTCCGATCGGCGCTCGCGCTCGGCGCGCCCGCGGACGGCATCCTCGCGCGCATCGACGCGGCGTCGCTCGACCTCAACGAGTCCACCGCGCGCATGGATCCGTGCGTCCTCTGCTGGGCGCGCAGGCCCGGCAAATCCGACGACGCCCACGTCGGCCTCCTCCCGGCGCTCGTCGCGCGAGGCCTGGCGGTCGACGCGCGCGGTCCGCGGCGGCGGATGACGGCGCTCGCCGTCGCGGCCGCCTGGGCCAACGCCGAAGCGGCGGTGGCGCTCCTCGACGCCGGCGCCTCCGTCAGCGCCGGCGCGCCGGCTCCGCTGCTCGCCTGCGCTCTGGCGCAGTGCGGCGAGCCCGCGCGAATGGTTCGCTACGTGCTGCGACGGAGCAGCGGCGGGCGCTCCTGGTCCCGGCGGAAGATCTTCAACGAGCTCCTCCGCCGCGGCGCGTCGCCCTTCGCCGCCTACGACGGGAAACCGGCGACCTTCTACCTGGACCAGTGGCTCCAGATGAAGCTCCACTCCCTCAAGCGGAACACCGACGCGATCATCCACATGCCGATGGCGGAGTCGGAGGACGAGCCCTCGGACGACGACTCCGACGCCCGCGACGAGTATTTCGAGAACAGGCTCGACCGGCTGAGGATGCAGACGCGCCTCATCTACGAGGGGTACGACGTCAAGGAACTCAGCCAGTCCATCAACCTCATGTCGCAGACGATGCACGCCATGTACACGGGCGCGCCGCTGCCCGCGGCGGGCTTCCTCCCGCTCGTGACGAAGGAAGAGGACGCCTAAGGAAAGCGTTAACATATCCCGCCGGCGGGATATGCTATGTTAGCGTGGCTGATCGCCTCTTTTTAGACGAGCCGGAGGCCTCTAGCGGCGCGGGCGCCACGCGGAAGTGAGTACTAGTCCGCGGCATCGTGGTTCAAGGTCGATTCAAGAAGCCAGAGGTGCCTTGAACTCGCAGTTCTTTGCGATGAGCTCGAGCATCGTCTTCGCGGCCTGCAGCTTGGCCGCCGCCGGCGCCCTGCAGGCGCCGCGATCGCCTCCGACGCGGCGCACGCTGCCGCATGCGAACCGACCGACGCAAAGAAAGGGCTTCGCCGGCCGGGAGTCGCTCGGCGACCCGCGATTCAAAGACGGCAAGTCCAAGGCGGTCTACGACTGCGCGCGCTGGTACCTGCTGCGCGGCGGCGAGCGCAACGGCGTCGAGGCGAAGATGACGGACTACGGCCTGGGCCTCGTGGCGTCCGGTGACGTCGCCGCGGGCGAGGCGGTGCTGACGACGCCGCGGGCGTGGATCGTGTCCGCGGAGGACGCGCCGCTCTACCTGTCGGCGACGCGCGACGACCCCGCGGCGGATCTCGTCACGGAGACCGCCGCCGTCTCCGCGCGCTTCGTGGAGCTCGAGGGCGACGGCATGTGGGAGCCCTACCTCGCCGCGCTCCCGACGGCCGCGGAGCTCGGCGATATGCCCGCGCTCTGGCCCGACGACGAGGCCGCCGGCCTGCTCGCGGGCACGCAGACGGGCCGGAGCCGGGCCGAGCTGCTGGCCACGTGGCGCAGCGATCTCGAGGCGATCAACGGCCGGCGGCGCCTCCACGACCCGAGCAGCCCTGAGCTCCCGTGGCGCCAGTGGCGCTACTACGAGGCCCTCGTCATGTCGCGCGGCTCCAGCCTGCCCGGCGTCGGCTACGCGGTCTTGCCCTTCATCGACCTGGCGAACCACGACGACGCGCCGAACGCGAAGCTGCGCGTGGACGAGGCCGACGGGTACTGCGCGTCCGTGTCGCTGACCGCGGCGCGCGACCTCGTCAAAGGCGAGCAGGTCTTCTCGTCCTACGCCGGCGGCGAGGGCCCCATGGACGCGCTGCTGAGCCTCCAGGCCTTCGGGTGGCTCGCGCTGGGCGACGACGAGCGGCCCCTCGTGGAGAGCTGCTCGGTCGACGTCGCGATGGCCATCCGGTCCGACGACGACCTCGGCGAGGTCAAGCTCGGCCTGCTCGACGCGGCGCCGGGCGGCGGCCGCGCCGTGCTCACGACGACGGGGACGTCCGACGTCGACGACCGGGCGCACGCCGGGGCGCTCCGGGACCTGCTCTGCGGCCTCCGGCTCGTGTCGATGGACGAGGCGGCGCTCACGGCGGAGATCCTCGAGAACGAGGCGCCGGAGGACTCGCCCTGGGCGCTGGGCGAACGCGTGAGCGACGCCAACGAGGCCGCGGCGGTGCAGGCGGGCAGCGGCCTGCTCCGGCGCATGATCGCGGCGTCCGACGCGGAGTTCGAGACGCGGACCAAAGCGGGCGTCGCGGCCGCGAACGCGTCGCCCGAGGGCCTCCGCCGGGCGACGCTCGCGCGCGCGACGGCCGAGGGCGAGCGCGCCGCCCTCTGCACGCTCCTCGCCCTCCTCGAGGGCCGCCCGGAGTAAGTTGGATCGATCGTACAGGGGCGTACAAGGCGGCGGCACGGGATCTACCACGCGGCGAAACACACCCTACCCGCGGGTCCCGTAGCAGTCGTCGATGTCGTAGCCGAACTCCGCAAAGTCGACGGCGAAGCGCCGCGCGACGATCTCGCAGCTGAGGTCGTCGTAGTACAGGTGGCGGCGGCCGTGGTGGACGGCCTTGAGCCACGCCGGGGCCTCGGCGCCGCGGTCGCAGGGCGGCGCGCCGCAGAGCTCCTCGAGGAGCCCCGCCTCCGTCGCGACGGTCGCGTACGCGGCCTCGTCCTCGAGCTTGACGACGCGGTCGACGAGCAGGCGCCCGTCGTCGTCGTCCGTGAGCCAGGCGCGCTGCGACGTCTCCTTGTGCCGGCTCTGCGACCGCGCGCGGAGCTCCGTCGCGACCCGATTGCCCGCGAGGAAGCCCCGGCGCCGCCACTGGAGCGAGCCCGGCTTCGTGCCGTTGTCCGCCGCCTGCGCGCGCGCGAGCGCGTCGAGCTCGGCGAGGTAGGCCGCGAAGAGCGCGCGGTGCTCCGGCCGGTAGGGCTTCGCCGTGCCGTCCTGGGAGCTCCGCTTCTCGTCGTCGATGATGTAGGGCTTGAAGATGCACGCCGGCGCGTCCGCCGCGTACGAGTCGCGGAACATGCCCTTGGTGCAGTGGACTTTCGCGGAGTAGAAGAACCTGAGGCGTGCGGTGCGATGGACGCGCGAACGAGGACGCCGGAGCCGCGCTGCGACAGCGCCCAGTCGTAGGGGTTCCGTACGACGGCGAACGTGTACGCGCGGCGCCACGCTGGAACGCCGATCCGCGATTGGAGGTACGCGGCGAGGACGTGCTGCATGGGCTCCGTCGGCGGGTGCATGCCGTTCTGGTAGGGCTGCTGCAGCTTCCGGATGCGCGTGTTGTTGGCCATCGTCGCTATGGTCGTGCCGCCGCACTTCGGAATGTGAATAAAAGCCCACGACTTGCAGCGCGCGGCGAGCTCGTCATCCCTGACGCAGGTCGCGCTGCCGGCCTCGGCGATGGCGACGACGAGCGCGGCTGCCCAGCAGCATCGCGTCATCTACGGCGCATCGTGTGCCAATGGTTCAAGGTGGGCAGCATTGCCAACTTCAATTGACTATCGGCTTCCAAAGCGAGCTCTGCAAAACGCGGCTCCGGCAAAGAGCCTTCTTTGGCAGCACATCTCGAAGCACACACGCGTTACGCCTCACCGAAGCACACACGCGTTACGCCAGCACCATGTCTGACACCATCCCGACCATGAAACTGAAGCTCCACCGCGTCGACGGCAGCCTCGAAGTGCGCCGCGTCGGCCTCCGCGCCAACACTCTCGAAGCGCTGCGCGCGGCCGTCGACGCCACGTTCCCGGACCTCGAGGGCAAGTACGACCTGTTGTACGTCGACGCGGACGGCGACACCTGCACGCTCAAGACGGATGAGGAGCTGGCCATCTCCTTCATCGCCCGCAGCGACGGCGCCGCGGTCTTCCACGTCGTGCCGTCGCGCGCGCCCGCGAGCGTGCACGTCGGCGTCACGTGCGACGACTGCGGCATGTCGCCCATCCGCGGCTTCCGCTTCAAGTGCACCGTGCGGCCCGACTACGACCTCTGCGGCCGCTGCGACGCGCGGGACCCCGAGTCCTTCCCGAAGATCAAGCTCTCGGAGCCGAAGCGGCGGTGGGCCCGCGACGGCGAGAAGTGGCGCCGCGAGAAGCAGCGGACCTGCGGCGGCGCGAAGCCGTGCGAGGGCACCCTCTCCGCGGAGTTGAAGCAGAAGGCCGCGGAGATGATGGGCGACGGCGACGCGGCGAAGGGCGCCGCGCTCTTCGCGGAGCTCCGCGCCAAGGCCGCCGAGGCGATGCGCGACGGCGACGCGGACACGGACGTCATGGCCGAGATGGCGAAGAAGTTCCAGGAGCGCGAGGGCGCGGACGGCGAGCCGCCCTGCGCGTTCATGGCCGAGATGGCCGAGAAGTGGCGCGCGGCGGCGCGCGAGGCGGACGCCGACGCCGACGCGGTCCGCGTGGCGACGTCCGAGAGCCTCGAGACCGCCGCCGCCGGCGCGGAGACGCCCGCGGCCGCGGAGCCGACGGGCGCGACGGAGCTCGGCCTCGACCACGTGCGCCTGGCCACGCAGGCGTCCCTCGAGACCGCCGCGAAGGAGCACGGCGCGGCCGAGGAGGCCAAGGAGCCGCCCGCGCCGCCCGCGGAGGCGGCGTCGCCGTCGTCCGAGTGGGAGGAGTTCATCTCCTCGGACACGGCCGGCGTCTTCGAGGCCCTCAAGCAGCTCGAGGAGATGGGCTTCGTCGCGAAGAACGGCTTCGAGAAGGTCCTCAAGGCCGTCCAGAAGCACCACGCGAAGGACGGCATCGACCTCAACGCGGCCATCGCCGACCTCCTCCAGGCGCTCAAGTCGGCCTAGACGCGCCCCCGCGTCGCGCCCCCGCCCTTCGTGACCCCCCCGGTCCCGCGCGCGACAATCCGCGGTCGACCCCTCCCGCGCGACCGATAAGCCACTGTACACTTTTCTACGGCTCGTCCGCGCGGTCCCGCGCCTTCGCCCGCTCGATGAGGTCGCCGATGGCCGCGGCGACGAGGGGCGCATCCTCCTCGTGGGGGCAGTGGCCGCAGTCGTCGACCTCGACGAGGTCCACGGCCGCGGCCGGCGCCTCGCGCGCGAGGTAGTCGCGGATGCGCCGCGAGTTCGCGCAGGGCACGACGGGGTCCGCCGCGCCGTGGACGAGCAGGACGCGGTCCAGGGGCACGGCCGGGTCCCGGAGCGCGCGCGCGAGGCGCCGCGCCAAGGGCTCGTCCGCCGCCAGGCCCTGGCGGAACCGCGCGGTGCAGAAGTCGAGGAGCCCGCGCTCCCAGCCCCGCGCCGCCGCGGGGATGGCGTAGAGCGCCGCGTAGCGGCGGAGCTTGGCCGCGTCCGCGCGCCGCGACGCGTGCCACGCGGCCCCGAGACCCGTCGGCCAGAAGTCGCGCGACGCGACGAGGCGGCGGATCATCACCCGGAAGGGCCACGACGCGAGCGGGTTCCGGAGCAGGCGCGCCGCGCCGCGGCCGACCGCGGCCAACCCGCGGCGCCGCCGCGACGCCGCGTACGTCGCGTCCGCGGGCGGCGGATCCCGGAGGTGGAAGATCGCCGCGTCGATGAGCACGAGCGCCGTCGGCCGCCCCGCGGTGGCCCGCGCCAGCGCGGCCTCGGCGGCGGAGATGGAGCCCATGGAGTGGCCGACGAAGACGCCCAGCGCCGCCGGCGCGAGGCACGCGGACGCCATGTCGCCCTTGAGCTCGTACGCGGCGAGCCTTCCGGGCCGCCGCGTGAGGCCGAAGCCCGGGTGGTCGTGGGCCGTCGCCGAGCCCACGTCGCCGCGCCGCGCGACGAGGGGCAGCACGTCGCAGAAGCTCAGGCAGTTGGCGCCGAAGCCGTGCGACGCGTGGATCGCGACGTCGCCGGCTCCGGACGCGTAGTCGACGACGTGCGCGTCGTCGACGCCCGCGAGGCTCCGGAACGTCGACCCCGCGACGGCGAGGTCCGTCACGTCGGCGCCCGGCGGCGCCCGCGCGAGCTCGAAGACGAGGAGCCGCGCGAAGGCGTAGGCGACCGCGCCCGCGGCCGCGGCGCGCGCGACCGCGCGGACGACGAGGTCGCCGCTCAACGCCGCCCAGGTCGCCGCGCCGAGGCCCGACGCCCAGATCGCCGCGCGGTCCCGCGGCGTCAGCGCGCCGTAGCGCGCCGCGAGGGGCAGCACGCTCTCGGCCGCCGCGGACGCCTTCGCCGCGCGGCCGCGCTTCGTCAGCGCGGTCGGCACGGAGAAGGCGTCGGCGGCGCCGAGGAGCGCGACGACGAGCCAGCGCCTCATGCGTGCTTCTCTTTTGTTTGGAAGCGGCCCCGCACGGCGACGCCGACGTTCCAGAGCGCCGCGAGCACCTTGCTCGACAGGAAGAAGAAGAGGAAGACGCCGGCGTAGATGGCCGAGGCCTGCAGCACGGTCTTCAGGCGGCCTTTGGAGCCGAAGGTGTGGAGTATCTCTTCCTCCGTGCGCGCGACAGCGAGCGGCAGGAGCGCGTATTGAAGCACCAAGCGCAATTGCCACAGGCGCTGCGCACCCATGCTCAGCGAGGCCGGCCCAGCCGCTGGCGGCGGTGACGGCAAGCACACGCGCTGATGAAGCTGGTGGCCCTCGTCGGCGTGGCGGCGGCCCTGCAGGCGCCGCGATGCTCGCGCACGCAGCGCACGAAGCTCTCGGCGACCCGCGACGGCGCGCAGCGGCGGCGGCTGCTCGTCGGCGGCGGCGGCGCCGTGCTCCTGAGCCCGCTGCAGAAAGCGCTCGCGCTGCCGGCGGCGGCGGCCCCGCGCGTCGTCTGCGACGGCTTCGCCGTGGCAGCGACGGACGACCGCAAGTACCGCCTCGTCGAGCTGGCGTCGGGCATGCGCGTGCTGCTCGTGAGCGACGCGCGCGCGGAGTCGGCGGCGGCGGCCGTCGACGTCCACGTGGGCCACATGTCGGACCCGGCGGGCTACCCGGGCCTGGCCCACTTCTGCGAGCACATGCTCTTCCTCGGGAGCGAGACATTCCCCGGCGAGGACGACTGGGAGCGCTTCGTGTCCGACAGCGGCGGATCGAGTAACGCGTACACGGACACCGAGGACACGTGCTACTTCTGGGAGCTGCCCGACGCGGCGAAGCTCGGCGCGGCCCTGGCGCGCTGGGGCCCCTTCTTCGCGTCGCCCCTCTTCGCGGCGGACGCGACGCGCCGCGAGGTCGAGGCCATCAACAGCGAGCACTCGAAGAACTTGAAGAGCGACGCGTTCCGCGTCTACCAACTTGAAAAAAGCCTCTTCCCGGCGGCGCACCCCTTCTCCAAGTTCGGCACGGGCAACCGCACGACCCTGCGGCCGCCCGACGGCACCGGCGAGCCGCCGCGGGGCGCGCTCGTGGAGTTCTACGGCGAGCACTACGTCGGCGACCGCATGGCGGGGGTGGTGTGCGGCCGCGAGCCGCTCGACGCGCTGACGAAGCTCGCGGCCGGTGCCTTCGCCGGCGTGCGCAGGCGGGACACGCCGGAGACGCGCGTCGCGAGCCTGCCGAGCGCGTCGTGGCTCGCCGTCGACCCGACGCCGGACACGAGAGACGGCGCGCTCGTCGTCTCGTCCATCTCGTCGCAGCGGTCGCTCACGCTCAAGTGGATCGTGCCCTTCGAGGGCGAGGACGCCGCCGCCGTCCAGGCGTCGCGGCTCCGGGACCGCTTCGCGAAGCCCGACCTGTTCCTGTCGCACGTGCTCGGCCACGAGGGCCCGCAGTCTTTACTCGCGGATTTAAGGCGCCGCGGCCTCGCGGTGGGCCTCGGCGCGGGCGGCGGCGAGGACACGGACCAGTTCAAGTCGCTCGACGTCGGCGTGGACCTGACGCCCAAGGGTTTGAAGGAGTGGCGGCGCGTGGCGAAGATCTGTTTGGCGTACGTCGCGGGCCTCCGCGCCGCGAATCGCTGGCCGGACCACGTCTTCGACGAGACGGCGACGATGGCGAACCTGGCCTGGACCTGGGGCGACACGCCGGAGCTGAATTCGTTGGCGACGGGCCTCGCGCCGAAGCTGCAGACCGTCGCGTACTCGGGGGACGCGACCGACGTCGCGGACGTGCTCCGCCTCGACCGCGCGCCGCGGGCCCGGTCGAACGACGACCGCCGCGCCGACGTGCGGCGCGTGCTCGACGACTTGGAGCGCATCGCGCCGCTGGTCACCGTGCTCGCGCCGGAGCCGGAGATCGACGGCGGGGTCACGGGCGGCGCGAAAAGACGGACCGAGCCCATCTACGGCACGGCCTACTACCGCGCGCCCTTCGCCGCCGACGCGTCGCCGCCGACCTCGGACCTCTTCCCCGTGCCCAACGCCTACGTGCCCACGCGCGCGCTCGCGCCGCTGCACCCGCGGAAGAAGCGCGTCGCGCTAAGCGACCTCGGCCCGCCTTTGGCCTACGCGGAGACGGACGCGTGGCGCCTCTGGCACAAGGAGGACGAGATCTTCGGCCTGCCGCGCGCCGCCGTGCTCGTGCTCGTGCGGAGCGGCGCCTTCGGGTACACCGCGCGCGACGCGGTCTACGCGCGCGTCTGGCGGTCCTTGGTCAACGACGCGCTCCGCGACGCGGACTACGACAGCGGCGCGGCGTCCTACGACGCGGCGCTCGCCGGCCTCGAGTGGACGCTTTCCAGCGGCCCGCGGGGCGTCGCGCTGACCTTCGGGGGCTTCGACGACAAGCTGGGGGCCTTCGCGACGCAGACCGCGAAAGCTCTGAGGAACCTGGACGCCGTCGACTACGCGTCGCGCGACGGCGGCGCGCCGCTGCAGCGCGTCGTCGACGCCGTGGACCGCGAGATCGCGCGCGACGCCGTCGCGCCGCCGTCCGCGCGGTCCGTGTCGGAGCTCGGGCTTTTGACGGAGACGCCCAAGTTCGACGTGCCCGCGCTGAAGAAGGCGTTGGACGCGGTGTCGCTCGAGGGCCTGCGGTCCTGGCTCGACGACAAGGGCGGCGTCTGGGGCTCGGGCGGCGACGTCGAGGTCCTGGCCCAGGGGAACCTGCGGAAGAGCGACGCCGCGAAGCTCTCCGGCGAACTTCGCGACGTCCTGCGGCTCTCGAAGACCGACGCGTCGACGGACGCGCCGCTGGGCGTCCTCGAGGTGCCCGCGCGCGACACGGGCGTCCTCGTGAAGCGCACGAAGGCCCCCCAGGCCGACGAGTCGAACTACGCGGCGCTGCTGTCGTTCCAGACGGGCACGGGACCCGACGCGCGCGCGCGGACGCTCGCGCTCAACGCGGTCCTCGAGGCGCCCTTCTACGACGAGCTGCGCACGAAGAAGCAGCTCGGCTACGTCGTCCAGTCGGCGGCGCGCGCGCGCGAGAACTGCTCGAGTCTGGTGTTCCTCGCGCAGAGCAACAAGGACGACGCGGAGAGCCGCGCGCCCGACGACCTCTACGGCTACATGAAATCCTTCCTCGCGACGTCGGCGCCCAAGGCCCTCGCGGCGCTCGACGCGGCGAAGCTCGGCTCCGTCGCCGACGGCCTCGCGCGCCAGCTCGAGGAGACGCCGAAGACCCTGGCCGCGGACGTCGGCCCGCACTGGGAGGAGATCGTCGCCGGCACCGCGGACTGGGGCAAGCGCCGCGCGCTCGCGAAGGCGCTCCGCGCGCTCACGCCCGACGACGTCCGAACCTTCTTCGACACCCGCATCGCCGCGGGCGCCGAGCGCCGGCCGCTCCTCGTCCTCGTCGACAAGGGCGCGCCCAAGGCGCCCGCGGCGCCGAGCCTCGGCGCCGACGACGGCGACGTGCCCGCGGGCTACGCCGCGTCGCGCCCGCTCTATAACAAGACGTAAGTTAGCCCTCTGGCAGCGCGATGACGGCCGGCGCCCGGGGCTTCGTCGCCGACACGATCGCCCGGAGCTCGCGGACGCGCGCCGCGTCGGGCTCGTCGTCGTCGTCGACGAGCTTCTTCAACGCGCGTTTGGCCGTGCGCCGCCGCCGCGCGCGGTCCTCGAGCTCCGGCAGGTCGAGCTCGTCCGCGACGTCCGGCTCGAGCGCCAATTTCTCGAAGACGGCCGCGCCGACCCAGGCGTCGCGCGCGGCGTAGAGCACCTGCTTCTCGCTCAGGGGGCGGCGCGTCCAGTTGGACATGGCGAGCTTCTTGCTCTTCCAGAACCCCTCGAGGCCGAGGACGGTCTTGGCGAGCGTCGCGAGGCCTACCAAGGTGTTCCTTCGTTTTCCCGGTCGAAATCTCTCGAAATTCGTCGCGACCGCAAGGACGCTGGGCGAGGCCGACGCGCCGCTGCGCGCTCACCGCGCCGATGCCGCCGAGGTCGAAGCGGCCGCGGACCGCGAGCCCCGCGTCGCGGTAGAGCTCGATGGCGTCGTCGTCGATGGAGACGCCGACCTTGACGACGTTCGCGTCGCCGAGGAGGTCCGCGACGGCGGGCGGCGCGGCGTCGAGCGATCCCTGCGCGACGAGGACCTCGTCGCCGACGGCCAACTGGAGCACGCACGTGGCGAAGTCGGCCTTGCGGCCGGGCACGACGGCGGGGCTCTCGGTGTCGAAGCCGACGCAGGTCGCGCCGACGCAGTGCGCCGCGATCCAGTCCTCCATGCATTTCGCTTCCGTCGTGTAGGTCACCTGCATCGCACCAAAGGTGTTGGGCACGGCGGGCACGTCGAAGGTGTGCGTGAGGGCGTTGGTAGAGGCGACGAGCGATGCGAGGACGATGGAGCGCATAGATGCGCAGCTGCGACGACTGCGACGCCGCAAACTAGATGATGGCTGGTGCGCAGGAGTCAAACTGTAGCCGCTGTGCGCTCGCTGCGCCTGTAACGTCGACGCGCAGTTCCGACGATGGCGACGGCTCAAACCGCAGCCGCTATGCACGCTTTGCGCCACCTCCATGCGTCTTGAAAAGCACTGTGGCAATTCGGGCTTCACCAACAGATCACCAACCACTGCTTGAAGACGAGTGCTTGCGCGATGTTGGCCTTTTTGTGCGCAATCCTGGCTGCATGCGACGCGCTGCGGGCACCCGCGCACCGCAGGACTCACCGGAGAACACATCGAACAGCGCCGCTCCGCGCCGCGCCCGACGAGCTCGTCCCCGCGGCGATCTCCCTCGCCGCCGGCTGCCTCGGCGGCTCCATCGGCGTCGGCGTCGCCTACCCGCTGGACACGATCAAGGTCAAGATCCAGACCTATAACAGCCGGGCGCTCGCCGACGGCGGCGGCGCTCCCCGGAAGCGGAACGTCATCAGGAGCGTGCTCGACGAGGAGGGCGTCGCCGCGTTCTACGCCGGCGTCCTTCCGACGATGGCCGGCCAGGCGCTGATCAAGGGCGTCGTGTTCCTGGTCTACGATTCGGCGAAGCGCTTCTTCGCGCCGGCGGCCTGCGGCCTCACGTCCTGCGGCGTCGGCCTCGCGCTCGCGGCGTGCGCGTCCGGCGCGGCGGGCGGCTTCGTCTGCACGCCCGTCGAGCGGCTCAAGGTCGTCATGCAGGCGGGCTACGCCGGCGGGCCCCTGGCGTGCTTCCGCGACATCATCGCGCAGGACGGGGTGTCGGGCCTGCTGACGCGGGGCCTCGGCGCGACGCTCGCGCGGGAGATCCCCGCGTACTTCTTCTACTTCAGCGCGTACGAGGTCGTGTCCGGCGCGCTCGCGGGCAGCGTGCCGGCGGCGCTGATCCCGTTGCTCGGCGGCGCGACCGCCGGCGCCGCGTCCTGGGTGCCCGTCTACCCCATCGACGTCGTCAAGACCGCGGTCCAGTCCGAGACGGGCGCCGCGGGCGACGGCGCCGGCGCGCTCGACGTCGCCCGGGCGCTCTACAGGCAGGGCGGCGTCGGCGTCTTCTGGGACGGCATCTCGCCGAAGCTCGCGCGCGCCGTCGTCAACCACGCGGTCACGTTCCTCGTCTTCGAGCAGACCTGCAGCCTGTGGCTCGCCGCGGGCGTCTGAGCTGTAATTCGTTTCTAGTCGTCGAGGCTCGTTTTATGGTCGGACTATGGCGTCCCGAACACCAAGCCTTTGGCGAACTCCGCGAGCGGCATGCACGGCTGGCCGTACGAGTTGAGGCCCTTGTCCTTCTCCGGCCGCTTCGCGTCGCCCGCGGCGGACGTGCAGATGCCGTTGGGATCCGCGGCGACGGCCTTGATGGCCGGGGGGCTGAAGAGGAAGAGCTTGGCGTTGAGCACGACGGCGAGGCCGAACGCGATCCACCCGTTGCGCCGCGGCACCGCGGACACGGCGTCGCGCCGCTCCTTGAACGACTCGAGCGATTCGCCGGCGTACTTCGTCGTGCGCTTGTAAGCCTCGAACTCCATTTTCAGCCGCGCCGCGGCGTTCTCCTGCGCCTCCTGCGTGACGACGCCGGGATTCTTCTCGCGCTCGGCGGCCTTGGCCTCGTACTGCTCGCGCAGGCCAAAGAGGGCAGTGGATGGTTTTTGCGTCGGAGCGATGCGCGTGAACGCGTTGGCGGCGCACGCCAGCAGGAGTAGTAGTTTGAGCATTAAGAGGCAAGGCGACGGCTGTGGCTTCAGATCGCGGTGGAGGTGCCGGCGCGGCGGTGCCAGTGGCTGCAGAGATCGCGCTCTCCGGCGCCGGCACCTTGCAGTCACGATGCCTAAATCACGCAAAATACAGGCCTCTAGAGGCGCAATCACAAGGCTACCACAGCGTCCAAGCCGCGGCGATAGTGCAGAAGCGGCGCCGGCTTTTTTTGTGAGAGGGGCTTATGACAAGGAGGGGCGAGCATGTACATCGCGGTTCGCGGCGTGGACACCGGGGCCGCGGTCGGGGGGCCCCCGGAAGGGGGCGCGGGCGCGCGGCTACCAGGCCGTGAAGCGGCCGCGCGGCGGCGGCGGCGCGAACATGGGGAGCACGCGGCCGAGGAGCTGCGCGGCCGCGGGCCCCGGCGTCGGGCGGACAAGGTCCTGCCGCTCGAAGCGGTAGTCGCCGATCTTGCCGACGACGAAGGTCTCGCCGTCGAGCGCGATCTCGCGGCCCGAGCTGCAGCGCGCGAGCTCCGCGCGGTCCTTGGCCACGGCGCTGGCGAGCTCGCGCTTCTCCACGGCGCGGCCGAGCCGCGTCCACGACAGCGCCGTCTTGATCGGGTCCGCCCAGTTCCACCGGTGCTCGCGGAGCAACTCGCGCGCCTCCTCCGCGAGCCGCTTCGCGTCGGCGCGCGCCGCGGCGTCGGCCTCGACGGCCTGCTGCGCGGCCTCGAGGCCGAAGAGCGTCGTGCGGAGGAGGAGCTTCTCGGGGACGCCGTCGCTCCGCGCGATCCACGTCCACGCCTCGAGGATGTGGGGGAAGACGTAGGTCGAGCCCGGGCGCCGCGGGTTCCGGTGGATGGTCCAGCCGGACGGCTTGCCCGGCACGGCCGCGAAGGCCTCGTCGTCCTCGCCCGCGGGCGCGACGTCCGCCTCCGCCTCGCCGCCCGCCAAGAAAGTCCACGCGACGCGGAGCACCGCGCGCTGGTGCGCGATCTGGTGCCCGAGCAGGCGGCCCCGCGTCGCCGTCTCCTCCTCGATGACGCGCAGCGTCGTGTGCCACGCGTCCGCCGCCGCGCCGGCCTCGGCCGCCTCGGACGCCGCCGGCGTGAGCTCGATGATGTTGTTCGACGCGCGTTCGACGGTTTGGTGATGGAGAGTGATCTCGTCGCGCCGCGCCTCCGTGCGCAGGTCCGCGGCCTGCGCGAACAGCGACCGCGCCGCGTCCTGAAGTTCGCGGGCCTCGACCTCGCACTCCTCGAGGGAGCCGCATTCTGAAGCGACTTCGGGCGCGGGCGCGCGCGACGAGGACCGCTGCGTGGCGGCGGAGGCCGGGCCGCGCGGCGTGGCGGCGGAGGCCGGGCCGCGCGGCGCGTGCAGCGCGTGGATCGCGGAGGGCGCGAGGAGGGTGAGAAGAGCAAGGGCTTTGCGTCCCATCATCGTCTTCGAGCCATGGCGCGCCATCATCGTTGGCTGGTTCTCGAGTTCTCGACTGATGTTCTCGAGACCAGTCACCACTTCACCATCAAGTTGACGTTGTTGAAGCGCAGCGCACAACTTCGCCCGCAGTAGACCGGGCGGGATGCGCCAAAAGGACGCCCCGCCGTCATGATCGACCGCGCTAGTGCAATTAAAGCCGATCCAAGAGGTCAAATCCCCTGCATAGACCAGCGCGATACCGCCGGTCGCGTCCGCGCCGCGTCTCAGCGTTGTGCTCCAGAAACAGGCCAATGCGCTCAGTAAAGAGCACGACGCAGCAGGTCAGTCATCGTCTCGCGCCAAGAAGGCACAAAAAGCACCGCACCAAAAAAAAATCAGTCGTCGTCGTCCTCGAGCTCTCGCTTGCGCCGCGCGGAGAAGCCGTGCGTGCGGTCGATGAAGGCGCGCCCGACCCAGAGCAGCGCGTACCAGACGGCGGCGAGGCAGGCGAGCATGAAGATGGCGGACGTGAACATCTCGAGCGAGTGCTCGCTGTTGACGATGAAGACCAGAGAGCCGCAGAACATGGTCACGGCGAAGGCGCCGCCGCCGGGCCGCGCGCCGCCGCGGAGGCGCGTCATCGAGGGGTCGGCGCGGCGCGCGCCGCGCTACATGGAGCGCGCCGCGCCGCGGCGCCGCGCCGGGCAGCCCGTGCAACTCGCCCTGTTGATGTCCACGTTGCCCCCCGAGCGCGGGGCAGCGTTTTGGAGCGGTTGGGCGCGGGCAGCGCCATGACGACGGACCTGCGGTTCCGCTTCTCGCGGCTCACGGAGAGCCACGGGTCCCTGCAGCGCGACTACGCCGAGGCCGTGAAGCGGGTCGGCGCCCTCGAAGGCGAGGCGCGGGAGAAGAACGCGGCCTTGCTCGAGCTCGAGGCGAAGAACGCGGAGCTCGAGGCCGCCGTCGCCGCGGCCCAGCTCAAGGCCGCCGAGGCGCTCGCGGCCCTCGAGGCGAACGCGTCGGCGGCGGCGCTCGCCCGCGAGCTCGAGGAGCTAAGGGAGGACCACGCGGCGATGGCCGCGCGCATCGTCGACCTCGAGCGGGCCGCGACCCGCGACGGCGACGTCGCGCGCGTCGTCGCCGACGCCTGCGCCGCGGCCAACGCGGCGCGCGACGAGGCCGTCGCCGCGGCGGCGGGCGCCGGCGACGCCGCGCTCGCGCGGCTGCGCGGTGACCTCGACGAGGCCGTCGGCGCGCGCGTCGGCGCGGAGGCGGGCCTGCGCAGCGCCCTCGCCGCGGGCGCCGCCGCCGAGGAGCGCCGCGCGGCGGCGACGCGCGACGCCGACGACGAGCGCGCGCGCGCGGAGCTCGCGGAGCGGAAGCGCGCGCGCGCGGAGTCGCGCGCGGACGCCGCGGAGCACGAGATCGCGGCCTTCGCGGACCGCCTCGACGAGGAGAAGCGCAAGCAGGGGAGCCTCGCGGACCGCCTCCGGAAGACGGTCCAGGACGCGGACGACAAGGTCGCGTCGGCCATCGACCGCGCGAACGCGGACATCGACCGCGCGGCCAAGGCCGAGGCCTTCGAGCGCGAGCGCGCGGGCGGCCTCGAGGAGCAGATCGCCGCGCTCATGGCGAAGATCGACGACCTCGGCAAGCTGCCCCGGGGGCCCCAGTTCGCGGCCTTTGTCAAGGTCAAGGAGGACAACGAGGGCCTCAAGGAGAAGCTCAGCGAGCACGGCATCGCCCACGAGCCGCCGGAGGAGCCCACGAGCCGCTTCAGCAAAAAGGAGCCCTCGAAGCCCCTGCCGCGGCGCGCGTCGAACGCCGCGCGGAAGCCGCCGGGCGGCCGCTCCGCCGCGCTCGAGGCGCGCCGCGCGTCGTCGAACCACATGCAGGCCATGCGCGTCGCCCGGCGTCCGATTCTTTTTGCGCGTTCTTCTTTGACGCCAGACCCCCCTTCGCAGGCTCGACGCGATGTGATGTCTAAAGTTGTTAGGTGGAGCATGGGCCGAGGGGGGGGGTTCCCTACTCGTCGTCGGACTCGCTCGTGGGCACGGCGCCGACGCCCTCCTTGGCGAAGGCGAACTTGGCCGCCTTGGAGTTGTAGTGCGTGCCGTACTCGACGTCCTCGCCCTCGCGCTTGAGCTTGAGCCGCGCGTTCGCCTCGTCCTTGGCCCACGCGTTGATCGACGTCGTCGGCTTGTTCCAGAGGCCGACGATGAGGAGCACGGCGCTCGCGCCGTAGCACGAGTAGATGATCGGCTCCCAGCCCTCCATCTTGTGGCCCGGCTTCTCCCCGAAGAGCGTGCCGGGCTCGCCGCCGCCTCCCATCTTTCGTCGGGCGGTGCGCGGAGCGGACCGAGCGGCGGAAACGGCGAAGCGGGCGAACATGTCTAACGTCGGCGAAGGCTACGCGTCGGGCGCGGGCGGCTACGGGTGGGCGGGCGCGGGTGGCTGACGGCGCGGGTCGCGGCTAAAGCAAGCCACAGCTCCAAGTCGTCGATCGAGGAGCCGGGCGGGTTGATCATGCCCTCAAGAATCACGGTGCACCCAGCGCGCAGAGAAAGATCTGTCCCGCACGCCGCGCAACGCCATGTGACAGCGCACTCCCACCACGAGTTGGTCGCGTCCCGCGTCGCATCGCGGCAGAGCCGGCGCTTCATCGACGTGGGGCGCCTCGCGGGCCTGGCGGCGTGCTCCGCGAGGCCCGGGCGGCGCTGCCGCGGCCGCGGCCGGGCCGCCGCGGCCGGACTCCGGCTGCCCGCTCGTGCTCCGTCTCGTCATGACTGCCCGGGTTGCGATGGCGCAACGCTGTGTCCCTCAGCGGCGCGGAGCGCAGAGGACGTACGGGTTTTTGTCGGTTATTGCCGTCGTGTTGAACATATTGAACTTGTAGCAATCCATTTTACCGCAGAGCGTCGTCGGCGCGCGCGTGAGAGCAGAGCGTCGTCGGCGCGCGCGTGAGAGCAGAGCGTCGTCGGCGCGTGAGAGCACGATGGCGAACCATCGTGTCTCATTGCGCGTCGTCGAGGACAATTCCCTCGTCGTCGACGACACGCAGGGCAAGAAGCCGCACGACATTCGGCTGAGCATCATCCCCGGCGAGATCCTCGAGGTCCCCGCCGCGGCCGGCGCGCCGCCGGCGGCCGACGCGGCCGCGGCGCCGGCGCCCGCCCCCGCGCCGGCCCCTGCGGCGCCGCCGGCGCCGGCGCCGTCCAGGCGCGGCCGCCTCGGCGCGCTGTTCGTCGCCTGCGCGCTCTTCTACTTCCGCGAGTTCGAGGGCCCGGCGCCGCACGCGGCGAGGCGCGCGCTCGCGTGGTCGCCGCGCGTCGCGTCCAAGCTCGAGATCCGCGCCGCGCGGCCGACGAAGCTCGCCTGGAAGCGCGACGGCGGCCTCCACGTCGAGGCCGCCGTGACGATGCGCATGTTCAACCCGAGCCCGCTGCCGCTCGCGGTCCGCGCGCTCAACGTGACGGCGCTCATGCGCCAGCTCGGGAGCGACGCGCTCCACGCCGCGGGCTACAAGACGGCGCTCAACTTCAACGTGCCGCCCCTGGGCCACAAGGACGTCGCCGCGACGCTCGTGCTCCACGACCTCCGGCCGTCGATGCTCGCCGCCGCCGCCTACGACGCCGCGGCGGAGCTCCTCTGCGCCAGGGTCCCCGCGGCCTGCGGCGAGGCCGGCCCGCCGCGGAAGCCGGCCCTCGACTCGCGCCTCGAGGGCACGCTCAAGCTCTGGCCCTTCGGCGGCGCGTCCGTGGCCTGCGTCATGACCGCGCCCCTCGACGCCCCGGGCCTGCCCCTCGCCGTCGTCAACACGTGCCGGGCGAAGCTCCTCTAGGGCGCGCGTACTTATCTAAGGAGACGGCGGTCCTTCATGTTGACCGTGACCAGCGCTCTTCAACTTGAAGTCCAAGCGGCTCCGAACAGAGGCTGCCCAATTGCCAGCGCATCGATGAGACAGAATGAATGCGCCGTATGCCTGGAGACGTCGATCGATGAGGCCGAGCCGTTTGGCTGCGGCCACGCCCTCTGCGTCGACTGCGCGCCGAAGGTCACGCACTGCCCGCTCTGCCGATTCCCCGTGCGCCGGCGCACGGCCGCCGAGGCCGCGGCGCCCGTGCTGACGACGCCGACGGACGACGAGTGCCCGTGCTGCTACGCGGAGACGCGCGGGCGCCAGTGGCGGTGGCTCCAGCCCTGCGGCCACGCGGTCTGCTACGCCTGCGCGCGCGCGTCGAGCAACTGCCCGCGCTGCCGCGCGCCCATCGAGCGGCAGACGCTCGCGGCCGCGGCCGCGGGCGGCGACTGGGCGTCGCTCGCGCGCTACGTCGCGCGCGGCGACGACCCGAACCCGAGCGCGTCGCGCGTCGGCGCGGCGCCCGTGCACTTCGTCGCCGCGGCGGGGCGCGTCGCGGAGCTGCGGCTTTTGGCAGCCGCAGGCGCGCGCGCGGACGTCGTCGACGAAACGGGCTGGAGCCCGCTGCATTGGGCGGCGAACAACGGCCATCTGGACTGCGTCGCGTTCCTCGTCGACGACGTCGGCGCGGCGCCGGACGTCGGCGACCGCTGGGGCATCGCGCCGCGGCAGTGGGCGCGCGAAGCGGGCCACGACGACGTCGCCGCGTTCCTCGACGCGCGCTGCGGCGGGCGCCCCCCCGAGCCGCCGCGCCAGGACTCGGCGGACGTCGCGGCGCGGCGGGCGCGAGTGCTAGAGGACCAGCGGAGCGTGCGCGGCGCCGCGGACGGCCTCTCGCACGCGCTCCGCCGCTGGCGCGGCGACGAGGACGGGGAGACGCGCCGCCGGAGCGGGGCGCCGTCCTCGTGGACCGCCTCCGCCGGACCGCGCTCCGCGGCGCGCGGAGGCGCGTCTCCTAAGCCGGGCTTCTCGCTTTACCCGACCGTGCCCATGGACGAGTTCGAGTTGGAGCGCTGGAGCGACGCGGACCGGGCGAGCGTGACGCAGAGGCACGCGGGCCCCGTCGCGGCGAAGGCGAGGGGCGTCGACGGCTGGACGAGCACGTAGGACCGGGACGCGGCGCCGGACGTGGAGCGGATGGAGACCTCGTAGGTGCGGCCGCCCGCGGCGACGTCGAGGAAGCCGACGAACTGGGACGGGTGCTGCCCCGGCGCCGGGGGCTGCGCCGTGAACGTGATCGCCGGCTCGACGTCCGGCGGCGCGCCGAAGGCCTTGCAGTCGTAGGACGGGAGGGCCGGCCGCCGGATCTCGTTCCACTCGCGCGGCACCCACGCGCGGCACCGGCTGATCTTCGCGTGGGCCCGGTCCGGCGGCCGCGCGGCGAGGCAGCCGTACTGGCTCGCGGGCCCCGCGATGTCGACGCGCATGGGCTCGGCGTGGCCCTTGCCGTGCGACTTCTCCCAGGCCGGCTTCGGCCCGCGCCGCGGCTCGGCCCAGCGCGCGTCGAGGCCCGTCTCGAGGCCGTCCTCGTAGTGGCCGCGGCTCCGCTCGCCCGTCCGCGGGTCGCCGAGGGGGCTCACGACGACGACGACCCGCGCGCGCGTCGACAGGAGGCGCGTGCGCCGCGCGGGCGGCGACCGCGACGCGTCCCAGGACGGCCGCCGCTCGGGCGTCCGCGCCGACGGCGCGACGCTCGGCGCGAGGCCGCTCGCGACGGACGCGTCGTCGCGCGCGGCCGCGGCCGCGGGCGCGGCGGCGCTCGCCGCCGACGCGTCGCCGCGCGGCGCCGACGCGTCGTCGCGCGCGGCCGCGGCGCGCGCCGCGGCGAGCTGCGCGGGCGACGGCAGGAAGGAGCTCCGCGGCGGGAGGCTCGGCGGCTTGCTCGAGGCGTCGTCGGGCGCCGCGAGGAGCGCCTGGGACGCGGCCGAGGCGCGCGTGCGCTCGTCGTCGCCGTCGCCGGCCGGCGCTTCGGACCGCGGCAGCGACAGGAAGCCCGCGTCGCTCGTCGAGCGCTGGATGGACAGGAAGCCGTCGTCGCCCTGGGACCGCGCGAGCGACAGGAAGCCGCCGTCGTCGCCCTGGGACCGCGCGAGCGACGGGGCGCCGTCGAGGGCCGACGACCCGTCGCGGAGGTCGGGCCCCGGCGCGAAGGGCTGCGGGAAGCGGACGACGACGGCGACGCGGACGCGCTTCGCGGGCGCGTGGCTCCCGTACTGGACCGTGTGGCGCGTCGCGAGGCAGTACTCCGACGTCATGTAGTCACACGGCGACGACGCGGGCCGGCGCGCGCGCGGCGACGGCGCCGCCAGGTCGTCGAGGGGCCGCGCGCGCGCGCACGGGCTCGGCAGGCACGACCGCGCGTGGTTCGCCTCGCGGACGTAGAGATGGTTGCAGAAGGGCGTCGCGCAGCGCAGCGCGCAGCAGTCGCCGATCTTCCGCGCCGTCCACCGCGTGAGGCCGTGGCCCGCGTCGCGCGCGAGCTTGAGCGACGCCTCGGGCCAGCCGTGCGCGTGGCATGCGCTGTGCGTGCCCCCCTCGCACTTGTTGAAGCGCTCGACGACGGTGTAGCGCTCGCGGTAGCGGCACTGGCCGCAGGCCTCGCAGGGCTCCTTGGCCCTGCGGCCGCCGCCGGCGTGCGACCGCGGCAGCGGCGCGCGGTGCGGCCGCTTCTTCGGCGACGGCGCGCCCGCGCGGCGGCGGAACGCGCGGCTCGGCGACGCCGGCGTCCCGCCCGGCGACGCCGGCGGCGACGTCGGCGTCGCCGGCGCGTCGTCGTCGTCGATGTCGTCGCCGTCGGGCGTTTTCGGAGCTCGCGGCGGCTCGTACGTCAGCACGCCGAGCGCGTTGACGAGCTTGCGGACGACGACGCGCGTGTTGGGCCAGAGCGAGCTGTTGAGCTTCGAGTGGAGGAGCACGGTCCGGAGCTCGGCGCCCGGCGACGCGTCCGCGGCGACGACGAAGTAGATCTCGAGCGCGCCGAGCCGCGGCCGCTCGTCGCGGACGTCGTTCGCGAAGACGGGCGCGGGCAGGCCGGGGCGGCCGCCCCAGCGCGTCGTCGCCTCGGCGAAGGTCTCGTCGGCGAGCCCCGCGCGGCGGAAGAGCTCCTGGATCGCCGCCGCGCAGCGCCGCCGGCACCGCGCGTACCGCTCCGCGTCGTGCGGCATGCTGAAGTGGCTCCAGTCGCCCGCCGCGCCGTCGTCGCACTCGAACGCGACCCACGCGCGGCCCCGCAGCGCCGGCGCCAGCGACTGGGCGAAGATCGCGCACGACGTTTCCGTGACGTGCTCGACGCCGCTGGGCCGCTCCTCCTCGGCGAGCTCGCGGCCCGTGCGCTGGGCCAGCATCATGCGCATCATGAGCGTCGCGGTCTTCGGGCGCGCGGGCATGGTTGGTTGAGCGTTTATGCGTGTTGTTTGGTGGCGCGTGCGCGAGCGTTGAGCGTGTATGCGCGTGGTTTGGTGGCAAAGTTATTGCGGTGGGCGCGCGACGTTTATGCGCGTGGTTTGGTGGCAACGTTGCGGTCGCGCGACGTTGTTCGCGCTGCCCGAGCTTGCGGAGAGCTCGATGGCGCGGCCGTTTCGTGCGACTTCAACCACCCGGATCAATAATCGCCGAGGCCGGCATTGCCGGCGAGCTCGCGAGAGGCACCGAGGCAAAGCACCGATCGCAGAGCTCTCGCCTGCAGCGGCGGCACCGAGGCAAAGCACCGATCGAGAGCTACTCGCCTGCAGCTGCGCGATGGCACCGGCGCGCGCAGCCGACGACCTCAAGTACGACGAGGCGGCGGGCCGGCTCGGCCTCACCTACGGCCTCCTTGCCGCCGACGCGCCGCCCGCGCCGCCCGCCGCTGCGGCCAAGGCCGCGGGCAAGGCCCCGGCCGCCGGGACGGGCGGCGCGGCACCGGCGCCCGCGGAGAAGAAGGGCAAGGGCAAGGGCAAGGGCAAGGGCGAGGGCCCGCCCATGGAGGCGGCCCTGCCCGCGCGCGAGCTCCTCGGGTCGGTGAACTTCCCGCGCGACGACGCGCGGCTCGGCGCGGCCAAGGACCGCACGTTCTACGTGACGACGGCGATCAACTACGCGAACGGGTCGCCCCACATGGGCCACGCCTACGAGGCGCTGGTCACGGACGTCGTCGCGCGCTACTGGCGCCTCTGGGGCGCGGAGACCCACTTCCTCACGGGCGCGGACGAGCACGGCCAGAAGATCGCGAACACGGCGGCCAAGGAGGGCAAGCGGCCCATCGAGCTCGTCGACGAGTGCGTCGCCAAGTTCAAGGCCCTGGACGCGCGCCTCGACGTGTCCTACGACGACTACCTGCGCACGACGTCGGAGCGGCACAAGGCGTGCTGCCGCGAGCTCTGGCGCCGGTGCTCGGCCTCGGGCGACGTCTTCCTCGAGCGCTACGACGGCTGGTACGACGAGCGCGCGGAGTGCTTCGTCAAGGCGTCCGACGCCCAGCTCCAGAACTTCTGCGACGCCGACGGCATCCCGCTGAAGCGCACGAGCGAGGAGTGCTACTTCTTCAAGCTCGGCAAGTACGCGCCGGCGATCCGCGCGCACGTCCTCGCGAACCCGCACTTCGTCGAGCCCGAGAGCCGGCGCAAGGAGGTCCTGCTCATGCTCGACGACGCCGAGGACATCGAGAAGCTTTCCATTAGCCGCACGACCTTCGACTGGGGCGTCGGCCTGCCCGAGGGCTTCGACGCGGGCCACGTCATGTACGTCTGGATCGACGCGCTGACGAACTACGTCACGGGCGCGGGCGGCCTCGCCGAGAAGAAGGCCGCCGGCGACCCCTGCCTCGAAGCGGCGGGCAAGTGGCCCGCGGACATCCACGTCATCGGCAAGGACATCGTCCGGTTCCACGCGATCTACTGGCCCGCGTTCCTCATGTCCGCGGGCCTGCCGCTGCCCAGGTCCGTCTTCTGCCACGGCTTCGTGCTCGACGCGGCGGGCACGAAGATGTCGAAGACGCTGGGCAACGTCCTCGACCCGAACGCCTTGCTCGACGCGCACGGCTCCGACAGCTTCCGCTACTTCTGCGTCAAGGACGCGTCGCCGGGCGCGGACGTCAAGTTCTCGGAGACGTCGCTCATCCTCGCGCACAACAACGAGCTCGCCGACGCCTTCGGGAACCTCGTGCACCGCGCGACGGCCTTCGCGCAGTCCAAGTGCGGCGGCAAGGTGCCCGCGCCACAGGCCGTCGCGGGCCTCGGCCGGCCCTTCGACCTCGACGCGCTCCGGGCCCAGCTCGGCGAGGCCATGGAGAAATTGGACGTCGCGGCCTACGCCCAGGCGGCCATGGCCGCCGCGCGGGGCTGCAACAAGTGGGTCACGGACCTCGAGCCGTGGAAGATGAAGGACGACCTCGCGGCCAAGCGCACGGAGACGCTCCGGCTGCTCCTCGAGGCCTGCTACGCGCTCGCGCTGCTCCTGGCGCCCCTCGTGCCGCGCGCGGCGACCTTCGCGCTGCGGCGCGTGGGCGGCGCGCCCGCGCCCGTCTCCGCGCTGCGGCCGACGTTCGACAACCTCGCGCCGGGCGGCGCCGTGACGCCGGGCGCGCCCCTCTTCGCGCAGCGCGAGCTGCCCGGCGAGGGCAACGTCAAGGACGCCCTGGCCAAGGAGAAGAAGGCCAAGGGCCCGGCGTCGAAGAAGGCGCCCGCGCCGCCGCCGCACAAGGACCACCCGTCGGGCGAGGACGACACGGCCGCGAGCCGCCTCGCGCTCGTCGTCGGCAAGATCGTCGACGTCTGGCCCCACCCGGACAGCGACAAGCTCTTCTGCGAGAAGATCGACTGCGGCGAGGCCTTCGGCGGCGTGCGCGAGGTCGCGTCGGGCCTCCAGAAGCACTACGCGCGGGCGGACCTCGAGGGCCGCCTCGTGCTCGTGGCCGCGAACCTCAAGGCCAAGAAGCTCGCGGGCTTCCCCTCCAACGGCATGGTCCTCTGCGCGACGCACGGCGACGACGGCCCCAAGTTCGTCGAGGTGCCCGCGGGCGCGAAGCCCGGCGACCGCGTCGCGCTCCCGGGCCTCGACAACCCCCCCGCGTCGGACCGCCAGGTCGACAAGGGCAAGCTCTTCCCCAAGGCCCAGCAGCACTTCGTCACGAGGGGCGGCGTCTGCTTCTACAAGGACAAGCCCTTCGCCGTCAACGGCGCGAACTGCACGGCGCCCGTGCCCGACGGCGCCGCGATCAACTAGGGGACTAACGAGCGCTGATCCTTCGCGTATCCCGCCGGCGGGCTATGCTGTCCTTAGCCACCATCGTCGCCCTCCGGCGGCGCCTGCGCCCAGAGCACCGCCGCCAGCGAAACGCCGTCGAATCCGACATCGCCGAACATCCCGAACCGGCAGACGTACTCGCGGAAGAGCGGCCGGAAGACGCCGTCGACGCGGATGGAGACCTGCGCGTCCGCGTCGACGGGATGGATGCCGTGCGGCAGGTGGTCGTCGAACCAGAGCACGCGCACCGACGGCGGCACGACGTGCGTCCGCAGGCACGCGTCCTTGACGAAGAACTGTTTCGTCGACCACGCCTGGGCAGCAAAAGGGTGCGAAATTCCCAACTTCAAAGGCTCCTATCTCGGTCGTTTTCCGCTCGTTTCGGCTGATTTTTGGACGAGCGATCATCTCTCGGAGCGCTCTCGAAGCGTGGATGCTTTTCCTAGAACGCGCGCGTGCGAACACTCACGTTGAAGAGACATTGAATCACCCTTTTGCTGCCCTGGACCACGCGGGCCGGACCCACACGAACTCGGAGACGAGGTCCGGCAGGCGGTGGTCGACGTGCTCCACGCCGCGGCAGCCGCGCTCGTTCTTGAGGATCGCAATTTTCCCCGTGCTGCTGAAGATCGGCGACGCTCGGACGAAGTCGAAGACGCCGGGCAGCCGTTCGCCGTTCGCGTTCGGCCGCCACGTCCGCGCGTCGCCCCGGCGCCGCCGGCACGTCGCGAAGGCCTCCTCGGCGTCGCGGCGGAGTTCCGGCCAGCTCGACGTATCTTTGTCGCAGAGCTCCACGCATTCGCTGTGCTTCGAATCATCGGCGAGGAAGGCCGACCACTGGGCTGCGTTGTTTGCGCCGCCGATGCCCTCTTCCAGCAGATAGCGATCGAGCTCGTCGAGCGCCGCGGCCGGCACGAACTTCGTCAGGTCGAGGTAGGGCGTTTCAATGGTGTTGGCAAGGGCGCTCATCGCGGGCCCGCGACTTCGGCAGCCATCGAGGGCTGCCCAAACGAATTGTCGGCGGACATCGAGCTGCCCAAAGTGCAACACATGTCAATCAAGCAAAGGTGCCGTTCGATCGAGATCGTATGCTCGATCCTGTCGGCGCTCGTGCAGACCTGACAGCCGCAGCGGCTCATCTCACGCGCAGCCTCGCAGCCACGGCGGCTCCTGAGAGCGCCGCGAAGCGCGGCGTCGACGCCGGCGCGGAGGAGACGCAACCGAAGCGCAGAAAAATAACAGAGGACGACGCGGCGGCGGCCGTCGACGTCGAAGCGGCGGCCGTCGACGTCGAAGCGGCGGCCGTCGACGTCGACGAGGCGCCGGCCCTCGACCCGCCCGAGGTCGCGGCGGCGCCGACGCGGCGGCGCGACGGCCGGCGCGCGCCCATCGACCTGACGGCCTTCGAGGCGTTCCGCCGCGAGCGCGACGGATGAGGCTCTGGGCGGGCAACGTCGTCTTCCTCGAGGCCGCCGAGGGCCTGCGGTCGGCGCTGCGCCTCCTGGGCGTCGCCGCGCGCGTCGACGTCGGCGTCGAGGCCTGCCCCTGGGTCTCCGACGACGAGCTCTGGGTCCTCGTCGGCGCGACGCTTCTGCCCGGCGTCGCGCCGAGCGACGCGCCCTGGCCGCCGCCGCGGCGCTTCGTCGTCTACCAGATGGAGCAGCTCGGGAGCGCCTGGCTCACGCCGGCCTACCTGGCCCTCGTCGCGCGCGCGGACGCGCTCTGGGAGTTCGCGCCGTCGCACGCGCCGCGCTGGGCGGCCGCCGCGCGGCGCGTCGCCTACGTGCCGCTCGCGCCGCCGGACCTCGGGCCGGCGCCGCCGCCGTCGCCGGCGCCGGCGGCGGACCTGCTCTTCTACGGCTGCGGCAACGCGCGGCGCGCCGCGCTGCGGGACGCGTGCGCCGCGCTGCTCGCGCCGCGGGGCTACCGCGTCGACTTCCGGGGCAGGAAAAGGGTGATTCAAGTTCGCTTCAACGTGAGTGTTCCGCGCGCGACCGTTCCGGAAAAAGCATCCACGCTTCGAGAACGCTCCGAGAGATGATCGCTCGTCCAAAAATTAGCCGAAACGAGTGGAAACTGACCGAGATATCAGTCTCCAAAGTTGGGAATGTCGCACTCTTTTCCTGCCAGGTCGACTTCCGCCTCGGCTTCGACCTCTTCGGCGCCGCGCGCGACGACGCCGCGCGGCGGGCGACGGTCGTGCTCAACGCCCACTTCTACGAGGGCGCGGCCCTCGAGACGCACCGCCTCAACTACCTGCTCCAGCGCGGCGCGTGCGTGCTCTCGGAGCCCTCCGCGGACCGCGACCTCGACGCGCTCTACGCGCGCGGCGTGCGCTTCGCGGCCTACGGCGACCTCCCGCGCGCGGCCCTCGCGCTCCTCGAGGACGCCGGCGCGCGGCGCGACGCGTCCGCCGCCGCCGCGGCGCTCGCGGCCGAGCTCCCGCGCGTCGCCGCGGCCTGGGCCGACGTCGCCCTGAAGGACCTCGGGTAGTAATTCCTTTTTTTAGTCATCGTCGCCGTCGACGTCGTCGTCGTCGTCGTACACCCCGAACTCCGCGGCCGCCAGGGGATCGATCTCGTCGGAGTCGTACTCGGACTCGGGAAGTTCGGACTCGTCGTCGTCGGAGCTCGTGTCCGGTTTGTCTTCGAGAAAAGCGGCGGGGTCGTTGTTCAGGAAGGTGGCAATCTCCATGAAGTGGCAGATGTTGACGAAGGGCGTCATGTGTTCCGTGTGCGTGTAACCGTTCTTGTCCTTCGTGTAGTAGACGACGCCCGACGCCGTCGGCTCATATGGTGTGACGTCGTAGGTGACCGCGACGAGAGCGGCGTGATTGCGAAGGGGCTCCATGCTCGGCCGACTCTTGGGCAGGGGCTCGCCGAATTCGAAGTCTGCTACGGGGATCCAGAGCTTCCACGGTGCGAGCGGCCAGACGGAAGGCCGGAGCGGCGGCTTGGACCCGCGCGTGCGGCCCCCGAAGAGAGGCACGGAGGCCGGCTCTCGGCTACCCGTGGCGCTCTCGCTCCCGGCCTCGAGAAACGCGAGCGTCTCGTCGAGCGTGAAGACTCGGAGCTTCACGCCGGAAGCCGCGTTCCATATCTGCGACCCGCCGAGGCGGGCGAGCGTCTCCGGGAGCATTCGACTCACGACGATGCCCGACAGCTCCTTGACCCGGCGAATCCAGGCGAGCTGGTCTTCGAGGCCCACGGGCGAATCGAGAGCCACGGAGCTGCCCGCGCCCGGAAGCCGCACGCCGGCATGGCCGTCGCGCCACAGGTCGGCGATATGGTCGAGTTTGTGGCGCTGATTCGCGAGGCCGAGGACCAAGCATCGGTCCGTCCGCTGGTATGCGAGCTCGAGAGGAGTCCGAGGCGAGCCGAAGGGCCCGTTCTTGTGCGGCCCGCGGTACACACCCGAGCGCGTGTGGGACCATCCCTGGTACTCCAGCTCCCGTCTGTCCTTCTCCGTCAGCTGGAGCGCCGCGCGGCGCTCCGCCCAGAACTTGTCCGCGGTCACCACCTTGCGCCAGGCGCTGCAGACGACGGCGGCTATGCCGGCGAAGAACGGGTCTGAGTACGAGAGCACGAGCGGCACGACATCGCCGGGGAGCGGCACAACCGCCGACGAGCGACGACCGCGCGGCGACGCCGCGTTCTTGGGGACTTTGGATCGCGTGGCTCCTCCCATACGCGCAGCTGAGCGAGTGTCTCGTGCGCGAGACGTAGCAGTCGACAGGGACGGCGCGCGCGCGAAGCACAGCTCGAGCAGGCTCGACACCTTGCAATCATGAAAATTCAATTTAAAGTCAACATGACTTCAATGTACGCCTGCGGGCGTCGCAACTTACGCGATGCGCGCGCCTCGCTCACCAGAACTCGCCGCCGTTGAAGATGGGGAAGGAGGCGATGGCCGCGGCCGTGCCGATGGAGTCGGAGGTGAAGGCGCAGCGGGGGCTGCCGCCGTGGAACGCGGGCTGGAGGACCATCATGGGGTTCGGGAGCGCGTCGTGGCCCTTGGGCGACGCGACGCAGTCCACGGTGCTCAGGTCGTAGAGGAGGAGCGCCGTCATGACGACGGACGCGACGGCGGGGTCGAAGGCGCCGTTGGGCTCGAAGTTGGCGACGCCGTCGAGCCAGCGCGCGATGTTCGGGTTCGTGCCCGTCATGGACTTGGTCCGCGCGGGCGGCGCCATGTTCGCGGACACGGTGCAGCCCGCGTAGTGGCTCACGACGCAGCGCCAGTTCTGGAGCGTCTTCGCGAGCGCGTAGTTCGGGCCCTGGACGGTGACGAGGCCCGACGTGAGGTAGATCTTCGCGCCGTCGTCGCCGACGACGGGCGCGCGCGCGTTCTTGGCGAAGCCCGCGCCGCCGAGGGAGCCGAGCGCGGACCAGCGGCCCTGCCAGGCCGGCGCCGTCGTGTAGCGGTGGAGCGAGTCGATCTGCATCTCCTGGGAGATGGGGTAGACCGTGCCCGGGCTCGCGAGGTACGCGAGGCAGAGGCCGCCCGCGCCGCGCGACTTGAAGAGCTCCGTCACGATGGCGTCGCAGGCCACGGACGCGCGGACGTGCTTCTCGCCGTCGAGGTAGACGTAGGACCCGACGACGAGCGTCTTGAAGGAGCGGATGACGTCGTCGGCGAGGAGCCAGCGCGCGATGGCCGGCGCGTCGGCGAGGACGTCGGCGCCGCAGTGGACGGGCTGGTTGTCGAGGTCCGCGGCGACCTTCTCGCACGGCGCGACGAGCGTCCCCGGCGACGCCTTCGCGAACGCGATGAGGTCCTTCCACTTCGTCGACCCGACGTCGACGCCGCGCCGCGCGACGGCGACGACCGTGCAGCCCAGCGTCAGGAGCGTCTTCGTCGGCCCCATCTCCGCCGTCGCGCCGAGCACGACGAACGCGTTGCCCGACGACCCGAGGACGCGGTCGGGCACGCGGAGCCCGACCGCGCTCGACGACATGGCCTCGCAGCGCGTGAGCACGCTCGGCTCGCAGGCGCCGTGGTCGCTCCAGGCCTTGACCTGCTCCAGGTCCACGAGCACGCCGTCCGCGCCGCCGCCGTCGCCGTCGACGACGAGCGTCTCGAACGCGCGGCCGGGCTTCTGCATCTTCGCCGTGGACCCAAAGGCGCTGTGCACGGCCGTGAGGCCCGCCATGGCCGCCGCGCGGGCCGCGTCGGGCGACGCGGCCATGGCCTCGGCGAGCTCCTCCATGTACTTGCCGTACCTAGAAAAGTCGCGTCGAATGCGCGTCTCGAAAGCGACGCCGAGGCATTACTGGTGGCGCCAGTCCTTCTCGGCGTCCATGCGCTTGATCGCGTCGGTCTTGCCCAGGGCCTTGAAGGCCGCGCCGAAGATGCGCTTCCCGTGCTTCGTCGTGGACACCTTGTTGTCCTCGAGCTCCTTGGGCCACTCGGTGAAAGCCGCCATCGCAATTTTGGTGGAAGGGCTGCGTCCGGATTTGGGGGGCAACCATGCTTCGAGCCGGCAGCATCGTCCCGACGAAGGCTTCGACGAAGTCGCTCACATGTGGCGCCGCGCCGCTCCCGGCACCGCGCTAATGTGCCGAGGTGCCAGCGCCTTCGATCAGGACATCGGCTGGTGCATCTCAAGCTCCGTCAGTCTGCGCACTTCGCTTAGGGGGAGATGCGGAGCTCGGGGGAGAACGCGTCCCGGTCCCGCTGGAGCTGCTGCTTGACGACCATGCCGTCGAGGCGGCGGTCGATGGCGGACATGTTGTGCTCGTAGGCGTCGCCGCGGTCGTGGAACCAGTCGACGAACTTGAGCGCGAGGTCGACCTTGTGCGTCGCGACCGCGTGCTTCGACTCGAGGCTCGCGAGGCGCCGGCGGCACTCGGCGACGGCGCCGCCCGGCGGCGACAGGAGCTCGCGGACCGCCGCGTCGACGAGCTTCCGCGCGAGGTCGTTCGCCGCCGCGACGGCGGCCGTGAGCCGCCGGCGGTCCGCGTCCGCGCGGTCCTCGTGGCGCGCCGCGTCCGCGTCCGCCGCGTCGGCCGCGGCGGCGAAGCGCTCCGCCGCCGACGCCGCGAGCGCGTCGACGTCGTCCTGGGCCTTGGCCGCGGCCGCGCGCGTCGCGGCGAGCGCGGCCGTCGTCGCGCGGCGCTCGAGCGCGGCGTCGACCGCGCGCGCGCGCGCCTCGTGGCGCTCGCCCAGGTCGTCGAGCGCCGCGGCCCGGGCCTCCGCGTCCGCGAGGGCCGACGCCTGCGCCGCGGCCGCCGCGGCCGCGCGGTCCTCGAGGCGCGACCGGTCGACGTCCGCGTCGCGCGCGCGGCCCTCGAGCACGCCCAGGCGGCCCCGCGCCTCGCCGACGAAGCCGTCGATGCCGCGCAGCCGCTCGCAGGTCGCGCTCAGGCCCGCGGCGTCCGCCGCGTCGACCTTGGTCGCGAGGCCGGACGCGCACAGGTCGACGCGCGCGTTCACGGCCTCGAGCCGCGCCTCGAGCGCGATGGCGTGGTCCTTGCGCGCGACGGCGCCCTCCAAGGCCGCGTGCCGCTCCGCGGCCGACGCGACGTGGCCCTCGTGGCTCGCGCCGAAGCCCGCGACGTCGCGGCCGAGGCGGTCGACGACGTCCGCGAGCCGCGCGACGGCGGCGCCGTTCTCGACGACGCGGCGGCCCAGGCTCCCGCCGCCGGGCAGGGCCGCCACGGTCTCGAGCCGCAGGAGCTGGGCCTCGAGGTCGCCCACGCGCGCCGCCGTCGTCTCCGCGGCCGCGCAACGATCCTTGAGCGCCGCGATCTCGCCCTCCTGCTGCGCGAGCTGCGCCATGAGCTGGCCGAAGAGCTGCTCGAGCCGCGGCAGGTTCATGAACGACGAGAGGTTGTCCGACATGGTGTCGGGCGCCTTTTGCTTGTTGGTGGGCGCCGCGCGCGGCGTGTTCGGACGACGCGAGGCGGCGCGTTTGAACACTCGAGTGGGTTCGTCAACGTTGACGACGTTTACTTCTTCAGCAAGGCATGTCGATGCGCTCAGATGAATACACGGCGGGCAGCCCTCGACACCGCAATGAGATGAACGCATGCGCGGCCAAGCAGCCCTCGACGACGCGCTGAGATAACACGCAGGCCGGGCAGCCACACCTCTCCGACTAGCCGCATGCTGAGACGCCTCTGCTGCCTCCTCGCCGCCGCCGCCGCGGCGCGCGAGGCTTGCCTGCGCCAGTGGCCGCCGCGCGACGCGACGCCGCCGCCGCTCTTCTGGATGCACGCGCCGAAGACGGGCACGACGTTCCGGCTCCACGTCGTCAGTGTCGCGTGCCCGCGGCACCGGCGGCCGCGCGGCCGGCGGAAGTTCGAGGCGTCCTACGTGCGCACGCTGGCGCGGGAGAAGACGCCCTGCGCGCACGCCTACGACGAGGCGTCGCTCGTCGAGCACCGGAGCTTCAATACGACATCCTGCGGCAGCGGCCTCGCGCTCCTGCGGGAGCCGCGCGCGCGCCTCGTCTCCGCGTTCCACTACCACCGCGACGGCCTGCCGACGGGCCGCGGCAAGCCCCGCGCGTGCTTCCCTCATGGGCATCCGCGACGACGGCGACTGCCGGCGGCTGCGGGCGCTGCCGGAGCGCGAGCAGCTCCTCGCGTACGCGAACGACTCCCGGGTCCGGAACGTGCAGACGAAGATGCTCCTGGGCTACGGCCGCTTCGACGCCGTCGCGGAGCTGGACGTCGCCGAGGCGACGCGAGTGCTTCGCGAGTGCTTCGCCTTCGTCGGGGTGACGGAGCGCTGGGCGGCGTCCGTGGGCCTCTTCAACCGGACGATCCGGGGCGCGACGCTCCGGCCCGACGACGCCGCGCGCGTCGCGAACGCGGGCGCCTACGACCGGAGCAACTCGGGCGTCGCCTGGCTCGCCGACTACGCGGACGCGGACACGCGCGTCTACGCCGAGGCCGCGCGGCTCGTCGAGGACCGCCTGTCGCTCGCGCCCTGCCGATAAACACGAGTGAGAACCCTACGCCGAGGCCGCGCGGCTCGTCGAGGACCGCCTGTCGCTCGCGCCCTGCCGCTAAGTACGGACACCGGTTAAAACCCGCCGCGGCGCTCAGCTCTCGCGCCGTCGCAGGGTCTTGCTGTCCGCGTCCCAGACGATGTCCTCGACGCGGTCCTCGCAGGGCCCGACCCTCCCGCGCCAGGACAGGTCGCTGTCGTCGAAGATGGCGTCGTCGGCGACGCGCGGCGGCGGCTCGAGGATCTCGCCCGGCGCGAACGTGTGGCGGAAGCCCGTCCCGAAGAGCGCCTCGTGCTTCCGCGACGTCGCGACGACCCAGTCGAAGCGCTTCCCCCAGCGGTCGGCGCCGGACTGGAACTCGTCGTCGGAGTCGTTGTTCGCGACGATGGCCGCGTCCACGAGGTCCGGCGCGGACATGGTCGCCTCGACGGCGCCGTCGAGGCGGTCGAGGTACGCCGCGAGCACGTTTTCGGGCACCGTGCGCTCGCGCTCCGCGTTGCGCCGGAGGGCCGTCTCCAGGCTCACCTCGACGTAGAGCTGGACGACCGTGAAGCCCGCGTCCTTGGCCTCGCGCATGCGCCGGAGCTGGCGGTCGACGTGCGTGCCCGTGCCGTCGAAGCAGACGATGCGCCCCCGGCCGTCGACGTGGCGCGGCGTGCGGAGGATGGTCTGGAACTTGCGCTCGACCTTGGCGTTGGCCCACTGGTAGGCGTCGTTGCGCCCGTAGAGCGCCGCGGGCGCCGTCTCGTCGAACTCGTCGTGCGACTTCATGACCGTGTCCAAATCGAGCATCTCGACCGTGTCGAGCATCTCGATGGTCTCGAGGCCGAAGAGGCGGTGGAGCGTGTAGGTCTTGCCCGCGCCGGGGGCGCCCGCCGTGAAGACCATGACGGGCTTCGTCCCCGTGTAGAACATGGTGAGCGCGCCGCTCCAGAGCGACGTGCGCCGCGGACACGTCGGCACCAGGCGCCGGGCCACGACGTGGCGGGCGGCGCGGCCGAGCAGCATGGCGCGAGTCGTGCGTGCGGCGGCGCGTTGGTTTGGTGGGTGTAGCGCTCCTCCTCCGCTTCGGCCACAGTCACACCATCCTCCTCGAGCGATATCACAGATCGCACGCGCCGCTGGCGCTGCTGCTGTTGCCAAGGTCGACCTCAAGCGCCCGGGGCCCGCACACGACATGGGGACACACGCGTATGCACAGGAAGGTGTTGCCAAGGTCGACCTCAGGCGATGCCGCCTCCCCCCAGAGCCCGGGGCCCGCACACGAGATGGGGACACACGCGTATGCACAGGAAGAGGGCGGGAGGAAGCGGGAAAAAACGCGCTCAGGGGAAGCGGGCCTCGGACCATTGCGTCGCGGCGACGCCCGCGGCGACGAGCGCGTGGGCGTCGACGCCGGCGTCCGCGAGGACGGCGACGGTGTGCTTGCCCGGCTTGGGCGCGGGCGGCGTGGGCACGACGCCGCCGCCGAGGTGGCTCCGCAACCCGCAGGGCGCGAAGAGCTTGACGCCGTGCGTCGCGCCGTCGTCGGCGAAGATGTAGGTCTGGGCGGACGGCAGCGAGGACCGCCGCTTCACGCCCGGCGGGCTCGGGTCGCCCTTCTTCCGCGTCGGCGCGCTGTGGGTCGTCGCGTCCTCGGGCAACGCGCGCAGGGACCGGCAGAGCGTCGCGGCGACGCCGTGGGACCGCAGGACCTTCACGACGTCGCCCGCGTCGAAGCCGCGGACCTCGGCCGCGACGGCCGCCGCGGCCGCGCCCGCGGGATCCCGCGAGTCGGCGGCGTCCACGGGCGCGCCGCCCAGCGCCATGGCCAGCTTCTTCAGCGCCGCGCGCCGCGCCGGCTCGCGCGCGAGGGGCCCCGCGGCGGCGACGAAGACCCAATGGCCGTCGCGCGCCTCGTACGCGCGGTACGCGGCGTGCTCGCCGCGGCAGCCCGGCCCGCCGCCGCCCAGAGGCCGCTCGAAGGGCGTCGCGTCGTCGCGCCGCTCGTCGCCGAGCCCGAGCCAGGGCAGCACGAGCAATTGCCCCGCGGCCGCGAGCGAGGTCCGCGCGACCAGGACGCGGTCGTCGAAGCCCGCGGCGCGGCGCGCGTCGCGCTCCCGGAGCGCGAGCCCGCAGGCGAAGGCCCCCGCGAAGCCCGCCGAGACGTCGATGGTGCCGACGTGCATGTGCTCCTCGGGCGTCGCCACGGAGCCCCCGAAGTAGGCCATGATGCCCAGCGCGGCCTGCAGGTTGTCGTCGTACGACACGTGCGCGGCGCGGTCGCCGCGGCGCTCGCGGGGGCCGCCGTAGGCGTCGAAGTGGAGGAGGACGAGCTTCGGGTTCACGGTCTGGAGGCGCGCGGGGCTCAGGCCGAGCTTCTCGAGCTGGACGTGGGGCGCGTTGACCGTGACGACGTCCGCCGTCCGCAGCAGCGCGTCGAGCGCGCCGCGGCCCCGCTCCAGGTCCAGGAGCACGGACCGCTTGCCGCGGTCGACGACGGCGCCGTACTTGAGCGCGATGGACGGGCCGTAGGTCGGCTTCGGCGGGTCGACCTTGACGACGTCCGCGCCGAAGCGCGCGAGGAGCTCGCCGACGGTCGGCCCCGCGATGACGTTGCAGAGGTCGAGCACGCGGCAGCCCCGGAGCCAGCCCTTCTTCTTCCGCGTCTTCTGGGACGGGTCCGACGACGACGACGACGACGACGACGACGACGACGACACCGCGCGCTCGAGCGGCGCCGCGGGCGCCGCGAGCTCCGTCTCCCGGAGCCAGGCGAGGCGGCCGCAGGCGCCGTCGACGCAGAGGCCCGCGTCGCGCGCGTGGGCCGAGGCGCGCCACTCGTCGACGGTCTGCACGGGCGCCGCGGGCACGCGCGCGTCCGCGAGGATCGCCGTCCACCGGTCCGCGGTCCGCGTCGCGAAGGCCGCCTCGAGCGCCGCGGCGAGCGCGCGCCGCGCCTCCGGCGACGCCGTGGACCGCATGCCGCCGAGGCCGTGGCGCGCGCCGTTCGCGGCGTAGGGGTCCGCGACCGGGAGCTTGGCCTCGCCGAGCACCGCCTCGAGGCACCGCGCCTGGTGGCCCGCGTGCGCGGGCGCGACGAGGTAGACCGACCGGCCGTCGGCGCAGGCGTAGACCCGATAAAAGGGGTCGGCGACGTCGTCGAGCTCGCGCGCCGTCCAGGGCCGCGCGCCGGGCGGCCGGTCGCGGAGCGCCGCCTGCGCGGAAATCGACCGGTGAAGCTGGGAACTTTGACATTCTCCAGCTCGGCTGAGTTTTGGACGAATTGATGGCTCTCGTCGACTTCTCGAAGCTTGTGTCGCATGCGCTCACATTGAAGTCGGGTTGAAGATTTGAGTTCCACGCGGCGCGCCGCCGCGCGGTCGTCCGCGTAGTCCGCGGGCGCCGCGAACTCGAGCGAGTTGTGCACGAGGGCCTCGAGCGTCGCGGACGCGAGGGGCACCTCGACGACGTCGCCGACGACCTTGCGCCCTTCGAGCGCGCGGCGCGGCCGCGCGTTCAGCGCGAAGACCGCGCCGACGGCGCCGAGGATCGCCGCGTAGACCTACGTTTTGCGTGGGTTTCGGCGGCGCCGCGCGCAGGGCGGACGCCGCGCGCGCGCCGACGGCAGGGGCAGGGACGTGTAGGACACGGGCACGCCCCGGAGGGGGCGGTTGAGGCCCGCGTCGCGGAGCACGCCCGACTCGGCGAGCACGACGCCGTCCCAGGCCTCGGGCCGCGGCGTCGGGTCCGACGACGCGAAGCCCGGCATGGCCAGCCAGACGCAGCGCGGTGCGAGCCTCGCGACGACGGCCTCCGGGCTGCCGCGGCCGTCGTTCTCGCCGCCGAGGAGCAGCGACGCGAGGACCCGGGGCGCGAAGTTCTCGACGAGGACGTCCGCGCGGAG